ATTTTATGATAGAGAACATTATAAATCATCTCCCTAGGACATCAAGTAATTCTATTGATAATATCATTCATTTTACCAACAGTATAGAATTTAAATCACTGTTGGGAGAAGGAAATTATACAAGTATAGGCCAGATTCAGACTGCAATACATGAATTATTGACATACAGATTAAACTCGTAAGTGACTGGACACTACAGAAATAATGGGGGTGGGAGTGATAGGATAAAACTTTCAATAATACTCATTAAGACAGAACTATGCCTACAAGATTAATACATGTCATAAGAAAGCAATGATGGCATTAAAATAGTAAATCTATGGTAGTCCTGAACCAACATTTACTGGACACCCTCAAAGCATGGGGTCTGAACCACAGTCAAAGTGTCCAATTAGGAACATAATAATAGGCTTATTTCCCTTTTGGGTTCAATATAAGTATTGTTAAGCATTTATTCCCAGTAGGAGATTGCTTGTCCTGGCTTACCTATGGACAGTAATATAATTGCCTACTGTGAGACATACATCTTGACTTGACTTTCCAGTAAAATTTGCTTATCGCTCTTGTAGGAATGTCTGTAGATTTGGGGTGACCTTGGCACAATGTTATATGATAGCAACGGGCTCCTCTGCCTTTCCTCTCGTCTTGAAAAACGACCCCAGTTGCAGTGAGGTCTTCTCTGTCCAAGTGGTTTTTAAGATGTGCTTATAAAGGGGATGATGCATAGTTCATGGGTGCTAGGCAGGTGCTCTACCTTGTTCATTGGGAGACCAGTTAAGAGGATGTCATGATTTGAGAGTCAAAGCTGAACTTCTTGTCCTTTTTTTTTGACTAACTTCACTCAGCATGATGGTTTCCAGGTCCATCCATGTCATGAGGTGTTTCATGGTTCCATTTCTGTTCCTTAGGGATGCATAATATTCCATTGTGTGTCTGTACCAGAGCTTATCCATTCTCTTACTGATGACCATTTGGACTGTTACCAGCTTCTTGCTATTGTGAACTGTGCTGCAATGAATATAGGAGAGCGTGTGTCTATTTGTGTTCTGTCTTCTATTTCTTTAGGGTATATGGCCAGCAAAGGTATTTCTGGGCCATGTGATATTTGTAGTGCCAATTGTTTCAGGCATTGTTATATCACTTTCCACAATGGGTGTACATATTTATAATAACAGCAGCAATATGTAAGAGTTCCAATCTCTCTATATCCTCTCCAGCATTTGTCTTTTTCTTTTTAAAAGGGCTATCATTGTGGGTATAAGGTGATATCTCATTGTTGTTTTGATTTTTATCTCCCAGATGGATAGCGATCAAGAGCATTTCCTCATGTGTGTGTTAATCTTTGAATGTCATCCTTTGTGAATTGCTTATTTATGTCCTTTGCCCACTTCTAATTGGATTTTTTGTTCTTTTTCTTATTGCAATGCTGCAGAATTCTAGAGAATTTAGTAATTAGTCCTTCGCCTGTTGTGTCATCACTAAGGATTTTGTCCATTCCGTGGGCTCTCATTTTACTCTTTTGATGTGTATATGTATTTTATTTTTAATCTGTCATCTATTTTGTCTTCCACTTCATTATATGAGGTAGTCTGTGTATGTCCTGCAATAGGGCCCTTATGTTTGTCCCAGTTTTCTCATTTATAATCCTTATAGCTCTGGGGTTTAACCTGTTACCTCCCATAATAAACTCCATAATCATGAGCATTGTTTGTGTTTTCTGTATGAACCACTGAAATGGAGTATAAAGCCTAGTTGAAAAGTAGAGACTCCTGTTTGTGAAGCAGAACAATGGAAGAAAGAAAAAGAAAGTAATATATATTTCAAAATACCTAACAAATATAGCAGCATTTTAAAAATGAGTTATTGCAATTCAATATGGAAAAATAAAACTCAACAGAAAAATAAAAATGTTAAAGATTATGAACAGGTAATTCCAGAGGAAAAATACAAGTTTTTTAGATGTATCACAGAAAATGTAAATAGAAACAATAAGATACATTAAAAAAATCTGTCAGATAGATAAACATTAAAAATAGTAATTAAAATGGTAGTGGAAGATGTGAATTGGTGAGATTTCATGGGAAGGAGGTTTGGGAAGATGTGTAAAAGTTTTTAAAAGAAAGTATTGTTTTATAGATACAAGTTGTCAATAATTTCATCTTGGTTGCATCCACCCTCAATGCTCATGGAAGTAGCAGTTAATAAAATCAAATTGTGCATTGCATTGGGCAGCAAATCTGCTGCACAAGATTTCTTTAAAGTGTTGCAGAACAAGGAGGTCACTTTGAGGATGATGGTGCGCCTCACCTGGATGTGAAAATTGGACATGGAGTAAGGAAGACTGAAGAAGAATCAATGTTTTGAATCACGGTGCCGGCGACGAATATTGAAAGGGACTGCCTCAAACCAGCAAATCTGTCTTGGATGAAGTGGATGGAGCCAGAATGCTCCTTAGAGTCAAAGATGGATGGAGAGAAACTGTCTCCCACACTTTGGACATATTATCAGGCTAGACCAGTCCCTGGAGACGGCCATCAGGGAAGATCCTTGACAAGATGGATGAATGCAGATGCTGCAACAACGGGCCCAAACATAAGACCAATTATGTGAATGGCGCAGGACTGGTCAATATTTCAGTCTGTTGTTGCTATGAGTTGGAATCGATCGGATGGCACCTAACAACAACAATTAAAACCCAAGACTCTTTTATAGGGAACATTCAAAGTAGAAGAATATTGTTGGCAATATTTTTTTTGATGTATCAATTCTTATATATTTTTTAAAAATTAATCACACTTGGTAAAGCTTTTTAAACATAAAAGCCAAGGACAGAAATAGGGGCAATATCAAAAAATGGAAGCAAGAAAGGCCTCGAGTAGTGAAATGACACTAAGAAATGGAATACAAACCTTCCTGAAATGATTATTCAAAGTTCTCCAAAGACCTTAGTGAATTTCTGCATTTGTGACATTTAAATGGAGACTAGGAAATATACATGCATTTGGATAAGTTTACAAAACAGCCAGGAAACTAAATTGGATAATTTCTTAAGCATTTTGCATCTGTCTCATACTGTGATTTTCTAAATGGGTCCAAATATACAGCAATATAATTTCACTGTTATACACCCAGGAGTATAATAGGACTTATTAGACTTACAACCAACATCATGAAACATTCATGGAAAAGATTGAAGATATAATGGGATGAGGGATAGATTTATCACAGCTGGTAGAAAAATAATTTCTAGATAAAGCATATTCAAGCATATAGGTAAATATAATTTCAAAGCAATTTGTCAACCATGAGAATATAGTTTTATACAGATTTTAAATCCTGATTTTAAGTCCTAGGCACATACTGTCCCTTTTCATCACTAGCACACATAGACGTAGTGGGGGAAAGTGAGGAATAGATGTGAAAAGATTCTGGCCTAGCAGACCCATGCATACATTGCACGTGTCTTGTGGCATTTCCGTAAGTGGATGTTGGCCTTATTTTGCCCAATAAATAGTCTGAAAATGTTACTGTCTATCATATTTGAATAATGAAAATATGAATGATACTGAGGAAGTCATGGATCGAGTTTGGTAGTGCACTGGTCCAAACCTTACAAAAGCCGAACTCAACCCTATTGAGTCGATTCTGAGTCACAGGGATACTAGAGGTCAGACTAAAACTGGCCCCTGTGCATTTGCAGGAATAGAAAGCCCTTTCTTTGAGTGGCTGGTGGTTTCAAACTGCTGACCTTGCGTTTAGCAGCCCTATGCATAACCCACTACACCACCAGGGCTCCCAGTGTCCTGTGTAACTGGTAATCAACTGGTAGTAATAATTGCAGTGCCCTGGAAAAGAAATCATGGAAACTGGATTTGCTCTGGGGTAACTTATGGCCAGGCCTGAGAGCAGGTAGTGCTTTGTTGCTGATCTGTGCCCAGGTACATGTCTGAGATGGGAGGTATGTAGGTGGGGCAACACACAGGGTTGGCACAGCCAAATCTTATGCATGGCGGAGGGCCTTTGCCCAAACACACCTGGGTCTCTAGGTTCTCAGACCATGCCGGATGGTACAGCTTGGTGGGATATGTCACCAATCACTGTCCGGGCCACATCGTTCCTGGCTTAAGAACATTCGACTCCTCTCATGCCTGGTTTGTGGTGTCTGTCTGGCAGGAGTTTCAGAATGACCCTAACATCATTTTGGGTCAGCCAGGTGGTGGGGCGCAATAGGTGTGGCTGCACCTCCAGGGCTGGGCCACCCTAGCAAGGGGTGTTTCTTGGGTAGAAAAGCAGCTTGCCGAGAGGGCAGCGTCAGAGTAGGGCTGAGTAGGGCTGTTTTAGAAACTGGAGGGCAGGCTGGTGAGGGTCAGCTACTGGGAATCAAACCTCCATGTGAATAAATACTCATAATAAAAACAAAAGCCTTAAAATTAAAATAGTTGAACTGAAAAAGACATTGAAATCATCAACATGCCCCCCCACCAACCATTGATATGGGGCACTTATGAGCACAAAGCATAGGTGTTTTGCAAAAACACATCAGGTGTGTTATTTGTGTAAAATATAGTAAAATTTCTGACGTCGAGTTATAATCTGATTTCCATTCTCAGTCTCCTTTCCCTTCCTTTTTCAAATCCAGAAACCACTAAGCCACTTAAGTACTGCGGAATGCTTACAATTCTCCATAGTCCATGGAGGTAGATTAGTTTCAATGGAACGATTGCCTTCTCTGTAAAGTTCATCAAGGACCGCAGTGTTAAGGACAAGGATACGTTTCTTTTCCATCCACAGTGACTGCGTTCTGGACACGAATCAAACACTCACCACAGCCCCTCGCGTTCCTCTGGCACCCTTCGGACCACTCTCCCCAATTTGCCCAGGAGCTCCTCTGCTTCCAGTTTCTCCTGGGGGTCCTATTTGTCCTTTTTCACCCTGCAAATGTCATTAGTAAGACAGAAAAGTAGGAAAAACCAAATTTAGACAGACTAAATAACTGTATCCTATGCCTGAATGGTGCCAGAGGTCGTTCTGTAAACACAGCTCTATATGTAGTAACTCTGCTTTAGCGATTCTGCAGACCAATAATGACATACTTTCGCCACTCAAAGGTTTGTAAAGATAAAATGAAAAGAAATCTTGGAAAACATGGATTTAAAAAATGATTGTAGCTGAGCAAGCAGGGGATAGTGGTACTCATATGGAATTCTACATAACTGAGACTTCTATTTTGATTTTCATTACGGATTGATTGCGAGAGAAAATAGGCCCTATAGGGAACTTCCATTCCACAAAGATCCAAGGGATGTGGAAAAGGTTCCTCTGTGCTGTTCTGTACATGCAGGCTCATCCCTCACTGGCTTGGAATACGTCTTCAAAAAATATACTTAACAGTTTTATACCATTTTACAAGCTGCTGAAACTGGTTCCCTTCCGCTATCCATTAGACGACTGATCCTTTTCTAGCACCTAAACAGGACTAATTCAAGCACTATTTAGTGCTTGTTATTCATCTTAGGATGCTGGAAACTATGCTGTTCCATTATTAATAATGAAGTAGACACATAGAAAACTAAAACGGTGCCTACATTCAGTCAGGAAATTTTGCATTATCATCAGCTTGAAGAACTTTAAATACTTTTATGGTATGATCTTGTTTGATCACCAGACAGACCTTATTCTAGTCTTCCAGCAATGCAAGGGATGGAAGGGCCGTGCACCATTCAGCGTGTGATACTGATTTTAGACATCACATTATGCACAATTTAATGAGATTTCAGTAAGGTGGGGATTTTCTTTTTCTCTCTTTTTTGCAGTCTTAACAGTCATAAGTGTTTAATAAAGCAAATCTTATAGAAAGTTTATGAATAAAAGTTTCCACATTGGCACGAAAATACGATAGTGTCATGGTTGATGAAAGTGAAAGTATAGGTTAGAACAAATTGGTCTTTTAAGAGAAACAATACAAAAAGATTGCTTGGAAAGCCCCATTTATTTTTTCCCTCCCATTTAGCATGATAAAAATGGTCCAATGCGGAATCTTTTTTCACTACTTTCCTCTGAACCATAATGCATGGCTTATACTCTGAAAAGCCTGCTGTCCAGCTTCTTTTTAAAAAAAATCATTTTATTGGGGGCTCATACAACTCTTATCACAATCCATACCTACATCAATTGTGTAAAGCACATTTGT